AATGTGCTGTTAACAGAGAATGCCGAGGTGAAATTAGGTGAGTCACATTGATTTTTATTTGCTTTTAATAAATTAAATACTTTTGAACTTTATTGCACCACTGTTACTTTACATCAAAAACTGCCATACTTTTAGAAATTGTTTGTCAAAAAAATCAGAAAATTTGATTTCAGAAATGAATGACCCCTTTACCTCAGATGAGTGACATCAACCAATTTGGGTCTAATTAGAGCTTTCAAGGGTTTGCAAGCACAGCTACAGATGTTAGTTTTTAGTTTTTGTGTATGTAATTGAAAAATTGCTAATTGCTATAATCTTGATACTTGCCATTTCATTCCTGTTTTAATCACATCACTGTGTCCTTCTTTTGCAGTTGACTTTGGTGTGAGCGCTCAGTTGGACAGGACAGTTGGCAGAAGAAACACTTTCATTGGCACTCCTTATTGGATGGCGCCAGAGGTCATTGCCTGTGATGAGAACTCAGAAGCGACATATGACTATAGAGTAAGAGCCTGTCTTGAACATCTTATACTGTTGTAATATAGTCCTTCTTTTCAGACCTTACTGTAGAAATCTTTCTCTGCCCCATACATCTGTGTCCCCAACATTGTAGACACTATATAAAACAAGAACACCATTTTCCTTACAGCGTTTAAGGGAATAAGAGTGGTTTAACACACCTGGGGCCATATTCACAAAACATCTTAAGGCTAAAAGTAGCTCCTAACTTGCTGATTTAGGAGAAACTAATGAAAAAATAATGTGCGTGTCATTCGTAATTTTAGGACTCGCATTTTAGCATTTTAGTGCTGAAATCAGCTCCTAAATATGTTAGGGGTAGTCAAGAGGACTAAGTCAGAAAAACCAAATCACAAACAATCCTAAAGGTATGGCTGTTGCTGGTAATTAGCCTTCATGTACAAGTTGGGTAAGAAGTTACAGCTGTTCTTGCATCTAGTTTCCTTTGCATTTGCAAAACATCTTACTATCAGCCATGATTGTTCTAGTCTCTTAATTAAAAGGCTGCTTATATGCATAGCCGCTAGTTGTTTTACAATCAGCTGAACATATACTTGTTTAATTAGTGACACTTAGGCTAATCCAATTTCTACCCCTTACCGCTACACTTATCCCTTCCCCTCTGTTTTGCGCGTTCACATGAAGGGGTAGGGGTGTCTCGATTCCCTTTTGGTTTGAGGCGTAGGGGTAGGGGGATGGGCCACACTTCAAACACAGGACCACACTTCAAACGAAGGGGTATGAGAATTATCAGCATAAACCGGCTACAGCGGCAACATGGCTGCCCGAGCGAACAAAAAGACCCATACATGTAAGTATTTTTGGCATTAATAAAGATTTTAATTAAAAGTAATCATTTGTTTTATGTTACATTCAGTCATGTGTTCATATTTACGGTCATGTTAAATGTTTGCAAAAAAATTGCTAAAGTTTGCTAACGTCATATCATTACTGACTACACGATAGTGCCACAACATATTTTCATGTCTGATCAGGGCGATAACCACCGTAGACATTGAGGGGGGGCCCCCAATAATTAGAAATCGCTAAACCTTTTTCCCAAATATTGCCAATTAGAGAGAGAGAGAGAGAGAGAGAGATGAAAGTTGCATGTACGCGCATATGTGCATCTCTCTTTACAAGGAGTGAGTTTACTTCAAAAACAGTGATTTTATCCTCTCGTTGCTAGAAAATATAATGTAGCGATTCAGTATTTAAACTGTTATAATAAAAGTCGTGGGGCAGCGTTGACAAGTTTCTTTGCTCCTGGATGTGTGAGCTGCGCAATCTCCAATATGTGTGTGTGTGTCAGTAAGCAGCGCATTAATATAGAACGGTAATTAAAGGCTCTAATGCACACCAGTATAGGTGTGTGTATTGTAGGAGCTAGATGACGTGGAACAGTAGTGGTGTCTCATTTCTTTGGGGAATATTTTCACCCCTTCCCCTTGACACTCTGTTTCAAGGGACAAGGGGAAGGGGTATGAAATAGAATTGGGATTGGACCTTAGTCTACATTTTAATATGAATATGGCAGTGGTTCTCAAACTTTTTAGGCAATCTGAACTGTGCCTGAGCATGTTTGTATAATTAGGTGTACAATGGGTCTGGTTGTCACCTTACTGATGAACAGTAATTGTAGTTTGCGAGTTAAAGAACCGGTCAAACAATACTTATGATTCCATACCCAAAGCATTGTATGTTGAAAAGAGTATGCCAGAAGTCCCCGGATGGTCTACTATTTCAGGTAGATCTTTGAAGTGTGGATCAATACACACTTTAATAGATAATATTGCCCACAATCCATTGTGCTTTGACAAAGGATTTGGTTCAGAATATAAAGCGTTACAAAACTACAAACATGGCAGATGTGTGCGACCATCGGTTAAGTATCTGTTTTATATTTCATCTGCAACAACAATGTTAACTTTTATAAACATCTGTTTGACAGTTAACATTTAAATGCATCATGTAAAAAATATGAGCAGAGATCTCCACATAAATACCCACGGCTGGCAGATTAACAAGCTGCTGCTTTTTTCTCCAATACGGTAGGAAGTTAAATGAAATGAAATGTGAAGGATGTTAACTGTGACAAGATAATTGACAGGCCAGTTTACAGTGACTGGATGCCTGTAACTATGCAACAGAGCGTCTGTTAAAGATGCAATTGTATGTTGTGACAGTATGTCCACTCAAAAGTGTGTACTTTTTCTTCACCAAAAGAGTACATACTTTAAGTGCATCGTATAAGTAGGCAAATTGGATTTATTGTTATTTGTTGTGTTGAATTTAAGTTTTAAAAAATTCAAAAAAAATTTGCATGCTCAAAATGTGACTGTGGCTTGAAGCTGCAAATTCCTCCATCAACGTCATCTGCCTCCATAATGTACTGATACTGTAACACTCGGCCTTATCAGCTGAGGCTACACAGTTTTTAAAACAATTAATTGTTTAAAATGTTTAAATGTTGAGTGAGCAGATTAAAGACATTAAGACGGCAGATGTAAAACAACAATAATGTATTTACACAAAACAATGACACGGAACTAAAACAACACGTTATACATTGAGAATAGTCAGACTGCTAAAAGAGTCTTTCAGTTCATACCCTAAAACAGTCCAACAGCAATCCGTGTGTACTAGTCCAAAGTGTCCACCTGTGTATATACAATCCAGTAAATGTGATACTCCAAAGTGCAAGGGCAAAATAGTCCTGGTTGGTAAACAAATCCACAAGGCGTTCCTTCACAACTCAGGCAATAAACACATAGCGACCTGCTTCCTGGGTGAGGTGTCAGGCCTCTATCTTAGCCATGTCATGGCAAAATACGTGGGTATTTTTATAAACTGAGTATTTCTTTCTTCAGTTTTAAAAAAAATCTCTGTCCACATGAAAACGCAAATGCATGCTATGAAGCACTGTAAAGAGCATGCCAATTGCCAAACCAACAGGTGGCGATATAAGGCTTGTTTGAGATGAGCAAAATCTGCGCAGAATCGGTCACCGGTGATCACCGCGAGATGCATGCCGGTTAGAAAAGTGTCCGAGTTACGTTTTTTGGCTGACGTGTGCCAAAAAACTCTCGCGACGGCGAGGCAGCTGTGTCGGATTGTGCAGTCGAGTGCAGTTGCTCTCCACCGACTGCGCTGATCAAAAGCATGATGGGAAACGACTGACTGACGACAAAGCTTAATGCTCATTGGTTCAAACAACTGTGATGCTGTGTTCTCTTATAAAATGATTTATTTTATATCTGATTTCATGTGATTATGTATTTAAATTATGCATGTATGTTCCCAAACACTATGACAGTGCGATCTCTGTGTGAGATATGTGATTGTTGTCATATTTCTATAAAAATCAAAAAAAAATTTTTGTATTAAAGTAAAAATGGATGATAAATACACCTTTCGTATGGAATTAAATAGCAAGCACTTTGAGTTTC